TTAACTAGTATTTTCGGGAAAAAGAAAAAATTTTCAGAGCAAAAAGGACCCGAACACCACATGAGGGTTAAATCTCATTTTGTTAAAAATAATTGTGAATCGAATCGAATTGTGAAATCAAAATCGTGAATCGAATCGAATCGTGAGTTGAGTGAATCGTTACATCCCTATTCTCTAGTGATGCAGATGCAACATCGGACAGACAGAAAGCTCTCAACAGCAATGTAGACAGGCTCACAGTACAGCACTTGCTTATTTTAGCCCTCATTTCAGTGTAAATGTTAAGCATAGAGCTTACATGCCAAAAGGGAATTAGTCTTCAGTAACATCAACAACATGTTGTATAACCCATTTTCCATTATCCAACCAAGTCCGGTTATGTCAGCTCATCTTTCAAATGATCAAAAATATTTATGCAAGTAAATGCAAGGATGAAAAGATGATTTGGGTTGGGAGTTGCTTATGTAACTGCTTTTTTGCACCAGTCCAAGCCATCTGTGCTGGTCAAAGGACTTTTACAATAAAGTGGTTCAACAACTACCGGGGAGAGGAACTCCTAAACCAAAGCTGAATCCCACAGATGTTTAGCTCACCACGAAAGGTTATAAAAGGGAAAAAACTGTGCCCGTGTACAAACATGAGCCAAACCTCTTAAACTGTGCATTCCAATTCTGAATTATAGTAAAATAGGATTGGATAAAATGCTTTACTGCACATGGAGAGTATTCAAAAGAGAGAATCAAGAGGGTGCAGTGGAGTTCATGGCAATACCAATCACTTGAACAGTGGACCCTCTTTGTTAAAACTACACTCTAAAAAATGCTGGGTTAAATACAACCCAATGCTGGCTTAAATAGGGACAAACCCAGCAATTGGGCTGTTTTGACCCAGCGGTTGGGTTAAATGTTTAACCCAACCTTCTGGGTAGTAACCCAACTGCTGGGCCAAAACAACCCAATTGCTGGGTTTGTCCCTATTTAACCCAGCACTGGGTTGTATATTACCCAGCATTTTTTAGAGTGTAAATGCATTAACTATAATCATAATTTAAAATCCATGTCCAGACTTCTATAATCCTAAAGCCTGGATTTCTTTCTCTCTCTCTCTCTCTCAATGGGAGGAGATTTTCTGTCAGGGCTCAATTTAATTTTCTGGCATGTTGGAAATCAATTGTTACTGCAGGGTGATTAATGCATCAATAAAAACATTCTTCCCCAAAAATCTTATACTCTTAAAAATAAAGGTTCTTTAATGGAATTGATGGTTCCATAAATAACTTTTCAATGTACAAAATGTTCTTTAAAAAAAAAAGTAAAATATTTAAATGTTCTGCACACTAGGAAAAAAAAATGGTTCTTTTAAGAACGGCTGACTGAAAGGTTCTCTGGGGAACGCAAAAATGGTTCTTCTATGGCATTGCCAAAAAAAACAAAAACATTTTGGAACCTCAATTTAAAATATTTAAAAATACTGGTCAGTTTTACTGTACTCTACATACATCTTGTATTCCAAGTTGCAACCTATACCACTTTCACTTTTAGAAGCCATGCAACACTGTTCATTAAAAAAAAAGAATAATAATACATGGAAACACATGATTTTTACTTAACAAAAGTGCAAAAAAAGATGATCACTGCACTCTGCCAACTGGGTCAGGTTAAAAAGAAACCAGATAGCTCACCTGAAATGCACCACTCCCCTGATGATCTCATCCTTTAAAACACTGAGCAACATTAACTGAATCACTGACTTCCTCTTACTACAATGTGACTGGTATGGGGGGAAAAAACATGCAAAAATACCAGAGTGAACACAAGGTTGACCTTTTGATAACTTAAAAAACAAAAAATCCTGGACATTTAGTCATTTAGCAGATGCTTTTATCCAAAGCGACTTGCAAATGATGACAATAGAAGCAATCAAAACCAACAAAAGAGCAATAATATGCAAGTGCTATGACAAGTCTGGGTTAGCCTAATACACACACACATATATTTATACACATAACAAAAAAGAAGTAGATAGAATAGAAAAAGAATAGATAAGGCTAGTGTTAGAGGCCCTTTTTTTAAGAAAAAGCAGTTAGAATAGAGAGTGCAAGTGTTAAGAGGGTTAGAGACACTATTTTTCTTACTTTAGTCTGTACTTATCGGAACAATCTCGGAACAATGTATTGCATCACATCTCATTTTACAGCCTCACTAGGATGAATCACTTACATTATATTATTGCACATTATATTACACAGACACTTTGGATAAAAGCATCTACCAAATTAACAAATATAATTTAACTTAATTATTAGATCTGCAAAATGGAGAAAACACATTCAAATATATTTTTTTAAATAAATAAAAATTTCAACAATTTTTTTTTTGCACTAGTGCCCCAAATTAGGAAACACTTGTCCATTTGTCCTTGTTTACAAGTAGCAGCACTCTCTGTTAATTTCCTCCCAATGCCTCTGCCCTCACCTGATAAATGATAACACAAGACTCACGTTGTCAAAAACAAGAAGCCAATAAAACTCTTGCAAAACAAACATAATGTGGGTAATAAACTTGAGCAAGTACCATAAACTTACTCAAACAACAACGCTAATACAATACAAAAACACACAAAACTCTGATGTCCTGAGATGTGTATTGTTTTTACACAAAATAAAGAAGATAGGAAGTACCCATCATCAATCAACTGAGCACTATGTAACTAAGCACACACAAGAAAAAAAAAACACTTTACTCTCTTGCTCTGGACTCCTCTGTCTTCACATTATCACTTGATAAGGGTTCGTCTCCAGAAAAGTTTCAATGTCATAATGTGTTTGATCTATAAGCACAGATCCATCATGGATGGATTGCATCCACGCACTGCGCTCATTCTGCAGGGCAGCTGCGTCACATGCACCAGTATCTAAGATCTGCATTCTATTGTGGCATGTTTACCATGCATATTAAAATAACCATGCAAAGTATCAGTGTTAAAACGGATCAACTTTCCAGTGAAAGATCACTCACCTCGTCTTTTCCTTCAGTGCTGCTCTCCCGCTGCTCAGAGGTGCAGAGTTTCCTTTTGTTTTTGCTCTCTGTTCTCTTCATTCTGATGGATGGAGGTTGAGTAATACTCTACAATAGTAATATATCGGTGACAGAATCCGGTGGTCAGTGAATTTAGATGGTGAAACAAGCCTTGCTCTGATACATGGTGAGCAAACCTCTCCTCAACTTCGGTCCACAAACACAAAGACAGAATCAATGGTGAGTGCAGGTTCGACACTGTGGCTTCTGTGAAGCTCTCTCGACCTTAAGTTACAACCCTAGTTACCATGACAGCCCGTCAGTTTTCAGTCAATACTATTTTGTCTTCAGTTTTACGTAAACTGTGCGGTTTTAGCGCGGCAAATCAACCGGCGGAACTCGCTAGCTGTTTGCTGATAAAGTTTGACAACATCCGCAAAATAAACGCCTTTCAGGTTTACAAAAATGAAGTGACTGTTTAAAAACAACGTGTAAATATACTCGCCGGGCTCTTGTCTGTCAATGGGAGATTATAACGACAGGTCACCATTACGCTGAATAACGCGGCGTTTCCAACGTGCTTGCCGCAGTTTCAAGTCAGCCAGCGGATTGTCTCTTCTCTGTAAACTAATACTTTAGCGTTCCGGAGTTATCTCAGCCATAACAAAAACCTTTAAAAAACGCGATTTGTTCATCCAGTCAACTGCCTGACTGACGAGATACTTTGCCGCGGAGCCACAGCACAGCGCGAGCTCAACTGTTCATCAGGTCTCGAGCGCGAGCTCTGTTTTGACACGGATTATTCTATCATGCGGGGCACGAAGCTCCGCTTTGCTCCTTCAGTCTCACTCTTCTTCAAACGTCAACCCGGCCGGTGAGGTGAAACGGTGAGGTGGCGAAAATAAGTGCTAATCAGAGCCGGTCCATGTCGTTGGTTTTCTTGCAGGAGGAAATCTAACAGCTTCCTGAAGCTCGGATCAAGTGAATGTGCTGATCTGAGTTCAGTCTGTTCGAGCAGAGTCCAAGTAGGGAGTATGCATATACACTGGAGCGCTGATCTGAGTTCAGTTTGTATGTCCTGCATTGCATATACACTAGAGGGCTGATCTGGGAACGTTGTTTCCTCCAATGGTTTAGAAGGGGCAAGTGAACAGCTCGGTTTTCGGGCTTTGTCTTTGCTGCCATCTGCAGACGAAAGTACGGTAATGTATTTTTTGACAACCATTGCTGCATTTTCCTTCTGCATAAACATTATAAGATGAAAGATAAAACAGCACAAGGTGAACAAATTAAATGGAAGTCTTTTATCGAGATATACTGAGAAAAAAGAAGGCTCAGAAAATCCGAGCAGCAGGCTTAATTTCTTCATTCTTAATTTATTTTTAGTATTTATTTATAATTAAATTATAAGACAAGTTCTCTGTGTTTGTTATGGAATGTATTTGTCAAATGATGGGGAACAATTTGCAAGTTACTACAGGGAGTACTTGATTCTGAATTACTGAACAGATAAAGCATTCATTTAAGCCATAAGATATATGGGTTTTAGGTTTGTATCAGAAAAATTATGTAGGAGGTCATAACATGAATCAAGAAACATAAAAGCATGACACAAAGACACAATAAATTGAAATAGCATGTAGCAAAATAGTCTATATATTTTGATGGATCTTGCTTTAAAGTGAAGTTTTATAGTGAAGTTTAATCATTGCCATCAAGTAATGTCGAATAATGAGCAAACGCATTAAAAATTAGTAGAATATGGATTTCATGTTTTTCCTAAAAAATATATATAAACAAGACAACAGAGAAATAATTAGAAATTTTGAGAACTGAAAGTTTACTTGTTCCACACAATACCGATTTAATTTTTAACATTTCAGCATTTGAACATTTTTAGTAATGTGGTCTGTTTTTATTTTGCTGTATTTTACTTCAAACAATCTAACTGATACATTACAATATATGTGAATTCATATTAAAAGTGAGAAAAACTATTTTATCTGTATGGCCAATAACCTACAACAACAGGAAACAAAATTGGTATTTTATAAAAAAGGAAGCAAATGTTATCAGAGTTTAAAACTGAAAAATAGCCAGAATCACCTTCAAACATGTAGAATATGGTGTAATATTATCGATGACACTTTTAACTTATTTCATATTTCATATTAATTAATTGACAATGCAAATGCACAGTTCATTTATCATTGAAATACTTCTTCTCAGGATAATACTGCTTAATGACAATAGTGCCTATCAAAGAGAAAAAGGCTACAACTGTGAGGATGGTCCTCAGGGCTTTAAACCAGCTGGGATATGTGGGCAGGAGGGACAGGTCATAATGCAATGCTATCCCAAGCCCCATTATCACAAGCACAGCAGACTGTGTAATGTCATGGCAAAAAAGCAGTGCTGTCCAGGCAATCAGAGAAGGAACCACACTGTTGGCTAAATTGAGCCAGTCAGGTTTTGCTGGGCTCCCGGCAGGCAAGGTGAAACCCCAGCGTACCCCACCAAGAAAGGAAACAATGGACGCTCCGTATGCAACTTGGGCAAATGCAACTTCAGGAAGATACAGCTCTGTGACAGCCATAAGTAGAGGAGCGGATACAAAAGGTACGAGACCAGATAATCCGAGATAGAGGGCTGGCTTTGGAGCTTTCTTCAGGTCTCTCATGTCATAACGAACCAAATCAAGTTCTCTTGATGGACTCTCTTCCTGAGGACGTTTCTTCAGTCTATGTGCAGACCAGTGAAATGACTGGGCTCCCAAAAAAGAACCAGCAACATGTCTTGGGGGCAGCTGTCCATATAAACCTCTAGTAAACAGTGTTGAACAGTGAGTGGTCCGCTGCCCTAAACAGGCAAACTTCCTGGACACCTGCATGAGGCCACTCCACTGCATTCCCTGTTATTAGGGAAGAAAGAAATGTCAGCTAAAACAATTACGTATTGATGAGAATTCCCATAAACAATGGAGAATACATCACGTGTTCTGGTCTATTACGAGGTAACAGAGAGTACTGTTATTCATACGATTAAAAAAAATAGTAAAATAAAATAGAGAGTGCAACAAAACCAGATGGGTTAAATCAAAGTCCCTTTATTTGGTTAAATGTTTCACTCACCCCAAAGGTACGAAGGATGTGACGTCCGATTATACTTGCCAACATTTTACCTGCAATTCAAATAATAATAAAACATGATTAAACATTTGTTTGAGGACAGTCATTGCAGTGCTGTCTGAATCAGATCCGTTTAAAGTTAAGCCGCAGAACTCAATTATATATTACAAAAGCTAGCATGCTAACTGTGCACCCAGCATAAGCAGTGCTTATCTGTCAGAAACATATTCGACAGTAAACGGTCTAAGAAATAATGAAAACATGCCTTGATTTAATATCATATTGTCGTAAAATAAAACGAGGAGTTTTTATTTGTCAGCAGAAGGTCATTACAAGGCATGTGGCGATGCGAAGGCAGACACAACATAACACGAAAAAGCCCAGAATGTTCCTATAAAAGTCCTACGGAAGTGTCCAGGGTAATGTATTTAAATATATGCCGCGTCTCAGTGTGCCTACTTATACTACGCCCTTAAAGTATGTACTCTTTTGGTGAAGAAAAAGTACACACTTTTGAGTGTGTAGTAGAATAGTAGGCAAGCGTTGGGACATACTATCACGTCACACAACTGCGTCTTTAACGGACGCTCTGTCGCATAGAAACACGCACCCTGTCACTGTAAACTGGCCTGTCAATCATCTTTTCACAGTTAACATCCTCCACACATTGCATGTCATTTAACTTCCTACCGTACTGGAGAGAAAAGAAGTAGCACATTGATCTGCCAGTCGCGGGTCTTTCAGAGAACTCTGCTCATATTTTATGCATAATGATGCATTTAAAAGTTAACGACCAAACGGATGTTTATAAAAGTTTACATTGCTGTTGCAGATTAAATATAACACAGATAACATTAAATAAAAAAATTTTTACCAGGATAAATGATGAATATTAGTAACTCAAACCCCTTTTTCTAAGCCTCCTTAAACCTAACCGCCGGTCGTGCACATCTGCCATGTTTGTAGTTTTTAACGCGTTTTATTCGTGTTTGTAGTTCTGGACCGAATCCTTCACCAAAGCGCAATGGATTGTGGGCAATATTAGCAATTAGCGTGTGCACGGATCCACACTTCAAAAATCGACCTGAAATAGTAGACCATCCGGGGACTTTTGGCATACTCTTTTCTACATACTATGCTTTGGGACACACTTATTCTAATGATCTCACATACTATTTAGGATGGATAGTATGAACATTGAGACGCAGGGTTAGATTATATACAATTTAGCATACCAATAATTATAAAAAAAATTAAAAAAAAGCTACACTATGCGTTTATAGATGGGATGGAGTCTCATGGGAATGGAATGTTGCAAAACAACAGCAGTTTAAAGCTATACTTTAAAATGTTTTAATTTTTTAAATGCCAAATATTGTTTGGGGTTAGGTCTGACTGAAAATTAATACAGAAACATAAAACTTATTTATTTATTTAAATAAATTATTTTGCTATTTAAATTCAAGTCTATTATGCAAATATAATCATATAAACATATAATTGTATGCTATCAGATATGATTATTCAAATTTTATGCAAATGTAATACAATTATGTAGTTTGAACAACAAAAAAAGCACAAATACATACACAGTAAATTATAAAATAAAATTACCATTTTATTCATATTTTATTTAAATAACATAAATTAATATTAGCAAAACAATTAACAATTATTATTGCTAGCAAAAATTTCTTTTTAAGGGTCAGATGAAGCAAGTTCAAATCTCTGGATCACTCACATGTATTGGTCTTGTTCTAAAGTGGTCACTCAAGGGCATTCGGGTTTTGATGGGTCATCCGTTTTGTTAAATTATAATAGATTTTTCAAATATGTGTGGGTGATTATTGACTGAATGACACATCATAAATGTTAAATGCAAAATCGGAGTTTACTGTTTCAGTTATACCTAATATTGTATTGTAAATTTAAATTACTTCACATAACTTACAGGAAAGACACGATTCATCTGTTTGCTTTGCACACATTACGTTCACATAGATGTGTGTGCATTTTCCGGAAAGTCTATTAAGTTTATACACACACATCTGGTTATTTTTGCGTTACTTCACGTGTACCAAAGCGTGAAATTCCATCATTCCATTTCTGGTAGCAGAGCCAAATTTGCATTACCGGAGGGCACGCAGTCTGCCATGTTGTTCACATAATATTTTGTAACAATTTAACTCAGTATATTTCAAAAATAGTGCAAAAAGAGTGAAAACAACTTTAAAAGTCCACACTCTGTGTGCGTAAAGCCCTCTCGTGAGTAAATCCTCTAGCTGGCTTGAGCTGGGGGAATGTTGTGAGCATAGACTGTAAAAAACCGCGGTGTGCTCTGCGATCGATTAGCTCGTCTGTGCAGAAGTAGACAGGAACGAACTAGATGGATTGGCAAAGTCGGAACGAGTGTGATTAAAAAAACACAAACAAAATACAGAATCAGAAATACGACAACCTCCAAGCTGTCAAATTGACTTGACAAGCGGTGCATCATTGTCTTCGATTAACTTATTGGGATAGACAAGGGATCAAAAGGTAGGTGTATATCGAAATGTTTATTCGGTGGTTTGGTGTCGAGAGGGAGCCATTTTACAACACTTTATTTCTGCTCGGAATGCTAGCTTAGCCTAGCTCGCGCCGTGGCTAAAACAACACGCTTTCCGTCACGACACAAGCCCGAGTCTTTATAATTCACCCTTGTGTATCCGTCTAATAATGCCTAAAAGTTTCTTTGCTCTAAGAGTTTGAATTTAAACACTCAGCGTGGGCTAAAGGGTTTCTGCACACATTGAATGGCCTACTATGCTAACTGTGCCGTGCTAGCGAGTGTTCAGTAAGTAGTAAGACTAATAAGTATTTACTCATAGTTC